ATGGAATAGAATTTCGATACATGGATAGATTTTTTTTTGCAGTGAGTCGAATAAAAAAATTAATGAAGATCAATTAAAGAATATTTAATTATATCTAGCTAATTCTTAATTAGTTTGATTTAAAATTACTATTAGAGATTAATAACAGCAGTCATATTAAAGCAATTAAAAACTCTACATTTCATATAATTAAAATAAATTTTCTACTAAAAGGCGGTAATACATTTTTAATCTTAATATTTAGTATGGATATAACTATACGTACAATATTTGTAACGTTGACAAAATTTATTGCTTGAGATATTCGAATTTTGTAAAAATTCTTTATTTAATGTCGTTTGAGCCAGTCAATACATTTTTTCACTACAACAATAAAAAGTGTTAAGACCATATTTTAATAATATTATATGAACAAATGTATTGTTTTTCCTTATAGCTCCAAAACTCAATTAAAATATTAAATTTATTTATTTTGGAAACAATTTGTTATAAAATATCATAAATGCAGGGTACCTAGCATGAATGTGTCATAAATGAAAAGTTACCCCATTTTATCATTATAAATAGTAGGCATATTTTGTTTTAAATTTCAAGTGCTAAAGATATTAAATTCTAGAATCTTCTGACAGATTAATGAAATTCAATATGAACACCATTATATGGAAATCTATTTATTGACATGTGTTCTGCAGCGTTTCAAGTGTTATATGAATTTCTGTAGGCATAAGCTTTATTTCACAACATCGAAATTGCGAGCATTTTGGTAAAACACGTTTTAAAGGAACCAGAAGTAAAACGTTCTACAGCACTACATTCCGAATATTTGCAAGGCCCAAATAGTGTAGCACCATTTACCTATCCAATGCCCCCCCCAAAAAAAAAATCTCTATTCAAAAATACCATATATGTTATAAACAGATGTGGAGATCTATCTAGCTGAAAGTAAAATTTGGAGGAACCCATAGATTTCTCCATCATGTGAATGCAAATTGCGATCTTGAACTTTCAGTTTTGCTAAGTGATTTGTGCGTGCGTGTCTTTATATTTCTAACCTTTCAGTGTTACTCTTCAATTTTTGATACATTTTTAGTAGATCTTGTTTTATCTAACATTGTCTCTTTGATTCTCAATTTTTATAAAATTATGAAGGTAGTTCTCTCAATAAACACCACTTTAGCAAAGTCGTGCGTAACATTCTTTAATTCTATTTAGTTTCTCCGAATTCTACGCATTAGTGGGGGTAGTACAAAAAGTGTCCCGAAACAGGTATAGATAAGAAAGATACGCAATCTATAAAAAAAAATAAAAAAAAAATTGGAATTAATTTTTCCAAAAACCTCTCTCTCAATTTAAACCATTACATTTGAATAGTTTTAACTAGGTACCAAGAAAATAGATTTTTTTATCATTAACATCAATGTAACAGTTTAATTTGTAATGCATTGCAGTAGTTCAGGCAAATCTATGCAGTAGTCTGTGCAAGCTGTAGTTTAGCAAATGTAGGAGTTTATGCAAAAACTTTAATAATCATATTTTTATTCCTAACAATAATGCATCGCTGTTAAATATTTATTTTTGTTCTCTTTTCGCATACCACAACTATTTAGTCTGCCATAGAAAATGATTCTTTTTTCATATAACAAATGCTGGTTTAAAAAAATGTCACTTATTTATTTAGGAAACAATTTGTTATAAAATATCGTTACATGGTTTAAATGCAGGGTGCCTTAGCCTAAAGGTATCATAAAAGAAAAAGGACACCCCTTTATCACCATGGATAGTAGACATAATTTGTTTTAAATTTCATGTTCTAACAATATTAAATTCTAGAATTTTCTGATGGAAATTATGGAAATTCTATATGACAACCATTGTATGGAAATCTATTTATCGTCCTGAGTTTTGCAACTTTTATTGTCTTACTACATCAATTGTTGCATATGTAAGCTATTTCATCACATTGAAATTGCCAGCTTTTTTATGTTTTTATATAAAGTGGAATGAATTTATACAAAATGAGTTTTATTGTATTGATACGTTTTATATTTAGCTTTTTTTTCCATGTGAAAGTTTTTAAGTATAATTAGGTTTTTTAAATGAAGTTCTAACGTTTGAAAAGGAGTAATTTGCACAAACCTAGAATTTCATAAATATTTATTTTTAATTCTGTAAAAGAGTTTTCTATCGTAAATCGGACGAGTCTTTTCTGAAGATATTTTCTATTTTGCAGAGTAATGAATGGGTTCGAGTCCCGGCGGTGACATGGATGTTTGTGGTGGTTCGGAATCCACTTTAAACCGTAGGTCCCGGTCTAATAGGAGCGTAGAGCGTTGCGGGGGCATTGTTACTCCGCGTCCGTGGCTAATCTTAAAAAAAAAATTCTGTGTTACTGTATCTTTGCAAACATGATTTACTTCTTATCTGAATTTTACAATACACGCCTTGAAAAACTTGGGTGTCAGAAAATTACAAAGAACGTGGTAATGAGTAATGATATATTCAATTCATGTAACCTGAGCTAAAATTAAATTTTAATTAGAAATCTAATTGTATCAATAAACCAAGATCTGAATTTCGATGCATAGATAAAATTTTTGAAAAGAGTCGCATAAAAAAATAAAGATCAATTTATAAAATTTAATAACATCTAGCTAACTCTTTTAATAGTTTGATTTAATATTACTATTAGAGATTAATAGGAGTTATATTTGTAATTACAGCAATTAAGCCAACGGCCGTACCATACTGAATATATCGGTTCTCGTTAGAACACCGAAGTCAAGCATCATTGGGCGCGGTCAGTACTTGGGTGGGTGACCATAACAATGAAATAAATATTTTAATAGTTTGATTTAATGACTGTAGCGTCACGGAGCTATTACGGGGTGCTCCATCACAACAGAATTCAATCATGAGTTATATTTGTAATTGGCCAGCCAATTAAGAAACAACAAAAATTAAAAAATTTGAATTTTTATATAATTAAAATATATATTTTCTACTACCAGTAATACTTACTATGGATTTATTTTTTTTTACTATGGTAAATATTACTTTTTCTAAAGTAATATTTACTATGGATATTATTCTACGTAAAATATTTGTAATATTGCCAACATTCATTGCCTGATATTCGAATTTTGTTTTATTCATTATTTAATGCTGATAGTCAATTTTCGTCTCGAAAACAATGAAAGGTGTTATTTTAAGAATGACATGGCGACAAATATATTTCATCCTCTTAAGATCCAAAAGTCATTTAAGAAATTAGTTTACTTGGGAAACAGTTCATTCTAAAATGTCCTTATAAGGTGTAAATGCAGGCCACCTAATCCCGAATGTGTCATAAAAGAAAGGGAGCACCCCTTTATCGCCATGGATAGTAGACATAATTTGCTGTACATTTCGTTTGGTTAGCAATAGCTAATTCTGGAGTCTTCTAACAGATTAATGAAATTCAATATGAGCACCATTATATGGAAATATATTTATTGGCAAATGTTTTATAGCGTTTCATGTAATACTATATGAATTTTTATAGACATAAACTATTTAATATAATCAAAATTGCGAGCAATTTGGTAAAACTCGTATTAAGTATACTTTATATACATAATATTTGAATAAATATGAAAAATAATTTTACTTTGCCGGTAATTCCTTAAACTATTGGACAAATTTTTTCAGATGTTATCTTAATTTTTTTGAAGAAATTTGAAAAAAAGTTTTTATATTTTTTCGTATCGTTATTACCAGAGTGTATCTGTAAAGTGTAAAAAATAGTTTAATTAAAGACATTTATTCATTTTCTTGATTCTGTTATTTTTATCAATATTTGTTAAAATATTTTCAACTGATAATAAAATAAATATTTCAGCGCTGTTTCACTTTGGGTGTGTGTGAAAAGTGCGATTACTGCACTAAAAAGATCGAATGTTTACGTCAGAAAAACGCTGTTTTATTGCATCTTGTAAACTGGATTTACTTCTTATCTGAATATACACATCCTAAAACATCGGTGTCAGAAAAATTACAAAGAACGTGGTAATGAGCAGATACATTAAGTTCGTAACCTTGCAGAATGAAATTTTAGTAATTAAATAGTATCAATAAACATTCGATGCATGGATAAAAGTTTTTGGAGATGAATAAAATTAATAAAGATCAATTAATAAATAATTAATTAGACCTGGGTTAATATTAATTTGATATAAAGTTAGATATTAATACAAGCAGTTATATTTAGAATTACAGCAATTAAAAAACTTTTCA